ATCTTATGTTTCATTATATTTAAAGTGAATTTCTTATATAACATATAGTTCAGTCTTTTTTTTTTTTTAATCTGTTGATAATCTGTGTCTTTTAAGTGAAATATTTAGGCCATTCTATTTAATGGAAATGTATGTTCAAATTTAGGCCTACTCTTTTTTTCTGTTTATACCTTAATGTTTCCCTTTGTTTCCATTTTGTTGCCTTATATTGGATAAATTGATAATTTTTTAGAATTACAGCTAATCTATATTACAGATTTAATCTATTTTTATTTAGGTATTACAATTATATATATTTTTAAATGTTTATTTAATTTTGAGAGAGAGAGAGCAAGGAGGGGAGGGGCAAAGGGAGGGAGACAGAGGATCTGAAGCAGGCTCCATGCTGACATCAGAGAGCCCAATGTGGGGCTCGAACTCATGAACCTTCAGATCATTACCTGAGCCAAAATCAGACACTTAACTGACTGAGCCACACACGTGCCCCTAGAGTTATATTTTAATTTACCTAAAATGCTCATTTACATTTTAATTAATTTGTTATCCACATTTAGATTTATTGGGTTTTTGACTATATTGCTTTATACAATTTTTTTTTAATGGTTGCTGTAGGGACATGTTTATAAAAACTTTCTTCTGCTTAGAACTAATATTTTTACCACTTCAAGTAGAATGTAGAAAGCACGTAGTCCCACTGTAAGTCCCTTTTACTTGCTTTGGGTTGTAGTTGATACATGTATGCTACATCTATATACTTTGAGAAATCCATAGTCATTTGAATTATTGCTCCCTCTATATGGAATGTTTTTGGGGGGGTTTTGTTTTTTGCTTGCAAGGTGTTTTCTTTGTCTTTGGTTTTCAGCATTTTGAAACAACACTCATTTGAGTGTGAATTTTGTTGAAGTTGTTCTCTTTTAGGTTCCCTGAACTTTTTGAATCTACAAGTTTGACTCTTGGAATATTTGGGAGGTTGTCAGCTATTGTTTCTTCAAATTTTTTTTTTGTAGCCCTTTCTCCTCTTCTCTGAGACTTCAGTGACTCAAATTTTAGACCTTTGTTATTATCCTAAGGGGCTGGAGGATCTTTTTTTTTTTTCCTAATCTTTTTTCTTTCTCTTTTTTTTAACATTTATTATCCAGAGACAGAGAGAGACAGAGCAGGTGTGGGGGAGGGACAGAGAGAGGGAAACACAGAATCT